AAATAACTTTGGAATTGCCGACAACTTAGAGATGCCTCTGTAGTTGGAAGCCTCGGACTTTTTCCATGTTTTATGTATGGGAATTATAAATGATTCCTTCCACTTAAGGGGAAAAATCGGAGTTTCCAAAGATAAGTTGAAAGGTCTTAGAAGAGGTTTGCACAGAGCCCTGGCGCAGTATTTTACCACACAGCCTGGTACTCCGTCGGGGCCTTGTGAATAAATGGGTTTTACCCTTAAAAGACCACATAATAAGTTGTTCTCAGAAAAAAACGGACAGAAAATAAGATTTGCAGCTTGAATGTTATATGCGTAAGCCTGATCTGTCAATTAAGGCGGAGAAGAAGTTGTTTGAAAAAATTCAGCGAATAGATCGGCAATGGCTTGATCAGAGGTCGCAGAGGAATTTTCAAACGTAAGCAGGGGTGAAAAAGATACTTGTTTACGCTTAGTGTTTACAAAATTATAAAACTGCTTTGGATCCTGAGTAAATTGTATCCGGCAGCGGTCAATTCCTATGACATTCCGCATTATGCATGGTAAAATTCAACTGAGCTAGAGGTATCTTGAAAAATCAACACTACTGCAGGTTTTTTTATATTTTAGTAAGAGCCTATTTTCAATATTTTTTAGGTTAGTGAGGCACCTTGTATACAAAGGAGGATTTGTTAAAGCGGACGGATATTTCCATGGCACAAAGGAGTCAAAAAATTTATTTAAAGTACAGTAAAATATCGCGCCAATCATATGTATCGATAAGGCTATTAAGTTTCTGTAAGTCAGCTTTACGGAAGCAGCGAATCTTATTTGCCACGCATAAAGACATCTTATCGATACCAGGAATAGTTTCGATAGAGACCTTCAGCGTGGGGTGATATGGATCCTCTGGGGTTGAAAGAGGAAAAGCTCTGGAGAGAGCGTTACCATCAGGATCAGATACAAAACATAAGTCTAAAAGCCGACTTGATTGTAATCAAGTATGTGTTGAAGAAAATGGCTGGAATCGGGATCACTTCCATCGAACAAGGGTTTCAGTGGCTGCAGTTGTGTAAATAATGGATACAGCTTAACTTTTTCCATTGCGCAGTCGTCACTGGTCCAATACCTTAATTTTTATACCTTTGAAGAGGGTATTATAATTTTGTCCAAAAGTGTTCAACGCAGTGAAGGAGACATCTCCGACACTATAAAGTATATATATTCTCGATCAGGATCACTTCCTGAGTTGAAGATAGAAAGCTAAAACTTAGTACAGATTATATTTTTGGTCAGTTAATCCGACCTTCCAAATTTCATAAAGATTTCATAACGAATGGTTTTTGGTAGAAATACCAACTTTGGTATTTTTGAAGATTGAAGTTTTAGATTTTTCATTATCATAAATTGGGTTATTATCATATTCTCATAAGGATCGGAAAATTATATCCGATGTTTGCGATATATATCCGGTTTTAACTGCAAGGGTGGATCGCAGTGGGATCATATTGGAATGGCAAGCGATTTTATGATGCCAATGATCTTCGTGTGCTCACGCGTTGCTTCAATCGGGAATTTATATTTTGTCTTTCTTCGTTTAAGTTCTGTGAATACCCTTGTTGCTGGCTTGCATGTCTAGTACGGCGGTTCATTAAATTAACCTCAAATTTACGATCCACACAATTTACACAATTCAACTTACCAGCTTAAAAACAAATGCCTGTTATTGAAATTAAATAAAAACAAGAAAGCAAAGCTAACTTCGGGCGGAGCCGAAGTTGATATACCCTTGCAGCTAAAACCAGATAAATATCGCAAACATCGGATATAGTTGGCCGATCCTTATGATTACATCATAATAAAACCAATTAATTACAATAAAAAATCTAAAAAAAAGTCCCAAGCTTCTATCTTCAAAAATACGAAAATTGATATTTCTACCAAATACTATTTCCGATCGTTCAGTTATATGGCAGCTATAGGATATAGTCGGCCGATCCTTATGAAATTTTGTAGGTCGGATTAACTGACCAAAAATATAATCTGTACCAAGTTCCAGCTTTCTATCTTCAAAAACACGAAAGTTGGGTCATTTCCGATCGTTCAGTTATATGGCAGCTATAGGATATAGTCGGCCGATCCTTATGAAATTTGGCATGTCGTAATGCTTTGCCAAAAATAGCTCTCAGGTCAAATTTGAACTCTCTAACTCTAAAAACACCAAAGTTATACCATTTCCGATCAATCAGTTATATGGCAGCTATAGGATATAGTCGGCCGATCTCGGCCGTTCCGACTTATATACTGCGTGCAAAGGAAAGAAGGGTGTGTGCAAAGTTTCAAGACGATAGCTTTAAAACTGAGAGACTAGTTCGCGTAGAAACAGACAGACAGACAGACGGACAGACGGACATGCTCATATCAACTCAGGAGGTGATCCTGATCAAGAATATAGAGGGTATTATAATTTTGGTCAAAAGTGTGCAACGCAGTGAAAGAGACATCTCCGACCCAATAAAGTATATATATTCATGATCAGGATCACCTCCTGAGTTGATATGAGCATGTCCGTCTGTCCGTCTGTCTGTCCGTCTGTCTGTCTGTTTCTACGCGAACTAGTCTCTCAGTTTTAAAGCTATCGTCTTGAAACTTTGCACACACCCTTCTTTCCTTTGCACGCAGTATATAAGTCGGAACGGCCGGGATCGGCCGACTATATCCTATAGCTGCCATATACTGAAAGATCGGAAATGGTATAACTTTGGTGTTTTTAAAGATAGAGAGTTCAAATTTGACGTGAGAGTTTTTTTTGGCAAAATAATACGACATGCCAAATTTCATAAGGATCGGTCAACTATATCCTATAGCTGCCATATAACTGAACGATCGAAAATGACCCAACTTTCGTGTTTTTGAAGATAGAAAGCTGGAACTTGGTACAGATTATATTTTTGGTCAGTTAATCCGACCTACTTAGTTTTATAACGATCGGCTGACTATATCTTATAGCTGCCATATAACTGAACGATCTGAAATGTTTTTTGGTAGAAATACCAACTTTGGTATTTTTGAAGATTGAAGTTTGGGACTTTTTTTTAGATTTTATATTATAATAAATTGGGTTATATTATTACATTCTCATAAGGATCGGCCAACTATATCCGAAGTTTGCGATATATATCCGGTTTTAACTGCAAGGGTATATCAACTTATTTTTTTTTAGATACATTTCGCTGTTGTTCAAGTTGGTTTACACAAAATTTTAAGTTACAGGGATGCACAATAAGGGTGTAAGAAAAATGACCAGAGATTGAAAAAAAATACCTGGGAATGTGAAAAATTATTAGGGAATGAAAACAAGGAACAAAGATCAAAGAACAAAGACCAAAGAACAAGAACAAAGACCAAAGAACAAGAACAAAGACCAAAGAACAAGAACAAAGACCAAAGAACAAGAACAAAGACCAAGGAACACAGACCAAAGAACTTGGAACAAATACCAAAGACCAAGAAACAAAGACAAAGGAACAAGGAACAATAACCGATGAACGATGTGAACTAGTTCAGATAGGTCTTTTGAGTGACCGGGTCTATCTTGTTCTTTCGTTCAGGAACAACCCAACTCTAGTGTGAACTGATCTGGGTAGGAATACTTTGGAGGCGTACTTGGCAGAAATAGCTGACCACGGATTTATTACGGGTATATCCGAGCTGTCTGGAAATTAGCTCTTGGCTCAAAGTTGTTTATTAATTTGGTAAGAGCCCTTAAGTAAGGCATCATATAACATTCACAATATCCGTTAACTTTTGAACGCCGACGATAAACTGGATATCCATCGTTCCCTGTGACTTATTTATCGATAACGGTTCCAGTTTTTTTAAAACTAACGGTTTTTGATTAACTTTTTTAACAATTTTACAGTGAACACAATACCGGTTTGTCACATGAAATTAACTGAGCAGAGAACAATCAGTAACTGTCAAACAATGTACAGCAATGTCAAACAATGTATTACGCCCCGGCGCCTAATTAAAATATTGGTTTATGGTACAAGCTAGGTATTGGCGCTGTATGTAAAAAAAAATATTTGCCCACTTTTCTGTTGCAATTTTTCCTGAATATTCTTTGAGTCGGGCGTTCTGGAGTTATAGCGTCAGGAAAAAAACGACTTATTTTTTTATAGATACACATATGTCTGTAATACAGACTCTGTATTAATGCTATCGACTTCAAACTTGCCACACATCTTTCTCTCTTTTGCACGCAGTGTATAAGACGATACGGAATCGGTAGATGAAATTGGTTTGGTCGGCCAAATTTAACCGATATTTGGAAATATGTAAGATCCAATGTATACCTACTACTTTTACTTAACTGGAAGGGTTTATTAGCCTTAGCATCACCAATAAGTACCTTTTTTTTTATTTTATTATATAAAATTACTAAGTCTTTATAATGAAAGTCTTGCTTGTATATATTGGTTTTAGAATCTTTATCAAAAATATTAAATTTTATGTTTTATAATTATTAATTAGATTATAATCTTTGTATATAAGAATATAAATTATATTAAACAAAAAGTTCTCTTGACTATTTTAAACAACGACGACAAACACCCATGCCTCGCCACAAATAACTGATACCATTTTTACCATTTTTTGATACCAAAAAAATGCAAAAAAGACATACCATGCCGTGAAATTTTATTTTATATTTAGTTTTTTTTTTTTTAAATACATTTTTATTAAAACAATCGCTTTTTGATTTCGTTTTACTTTATAAAACTAAAAAACTCTCAAAAAGATGGCTTACTGTGTTGCAATTCGTTATGAGAGTTATGAAAAAATTTCAAGAGAAATAAATGTATAAAAGATATAACTTTATTCATTTAGAATATGCAACTTAATATGTTAGTAAATACGTCCCTCATAGAAATATTATTAATGAAACTATGTTGATAATTTAGCTACATATACATATTTAATTTGTGATTTATTTATTAATACAAACCTGGTAAAAGCAGGCCCTCCGAACACTGACAATTTACCTGAAGATGGTAAACTAAAATCTGAGATGATGATAAAGGATTATAGAAGATATTATTTGGACTTAAAAGAAAATGCCCGCGGACGTTTTCTTCGGGTAAACTGTTTATTTTTATACCATGATTAAATTTACCTTATAATATAAATTTCAGGTCTCTCAAACTATAACTAGAGGAGGACCTAGGTCTCAAATAGCCTTACCAGCACAGGGCATGATCGAGTTTCGAGATGCACTGACAGATTTGTTGGAGGAATTTGGAGCTAACGATGGCGGGTACAGTAAAAAAAAAATAAACTCTCATTTAAAAGAAATTCTTTAAAAAAATCATCTCGACAAGCCCGTTTTATTTATATATTTAAAAAAGAACTTCGTTTTTTGTTTCTTTTGTCTAGGTTATAATGAGTAACCTAGATTAACCTAGATTTTTGTGGGTAACCGCAAAAATGGGTCAGTTAGAATACCTCGCAGTTCGTACAACACAAAACTTTCCAATGCTTCCAACGCTGCACTTGGACGTAAACTCTTCTAGGAATACTCACTTCATTAAGGTTTAAGACTCTTAACTTTTTAGGTTCTAGAGATGTTCTTAAATAGGCAGCATTTTTCCAGGGTGTAAAAAATTATGTGAACCACCTTCCTTTCGTTTCGGGTGAGCTGGTCATTCCTGATTATCATGCTTCATCGACTTACAGGTTGTTTCTTCTTGTATCTTCTTGTACAGGTTGTCTTCTACGTGCTTGTAGATGTGACAGCCAGTCTAACCTCCATTCTCCATCCATCAGAATTGTCTCAGTGAAATTTATCCTTCCCTCACTTCCCTCTCTTTCTTTCAAGCGAACGGTCGTGTTTTTTTTGTGCGCACTGCGTTTTTGACAAATATTGGTAAACCGGTGTTTACATACTTTGTGAATTAAATCTTGTGAATCATAACAATCTTAAAGCCTAAACCGTATCGCTTATTAAATAAAAAAAAATAATAAATAAAATGGAATTTAAACTGGTCTGTGCCATTAAGTCTTGCAACAAGACAATTTCCACATCCCAGCCTAGTATCCATTGCTGGTTATGTGAAAACGTCGTGCACGCCAAGTGTGCCGGTTTCACTGCATCAGTTTCGGATGCCATTTCCCGTAGGTCTGGGATACATTATTGTTGCGAAAATTGTCGTGCTGTGCAAGGCGAAATGAGGTCGTTCATGAGACAGACTAAAAATGGATTTAAAGAGCTGATCACTGGTTTTCGTAAAATCAATGACCAGCTCTGTGCGCTTGACACTCAACTTAGTGGCCTTCAGCTGTTAAATGAGTCCCCTAAGCGTAAGAAATCCGCTGTTTTTGATCCGCCTCAGCCTGCTCAGCCGACTTTAATGCAGCCGCTTATATCTCTGGCCACCCCAAGGGCCTTAACTGAGAAAAATTCGTCAGAATTTCTCAGGGATAATGAGCATATGTCCGATATGTCCGCCATGGCATCCCTTCAAGTGATGCCACAGGTCCTAGGGAACGAAACCCCCATTAGGGTCACCCAAAAGGGTATTCCACAGTCCGGACCACCGGCACCGACTGATGCTGCAGTTCTTGTACCTGCGACACCAAAACCCTTACAGGTGATTCCTCCATCGAAACATATATTTGTTTCTCGGCTTGCCCCTGATACTTCAGAGATTGATATCTCGGCTTATATCAAAGCCAAAACTAAAGCCGATATAAAGGTGGAGGACATAAAAAAATTTAAATACAATTATACAAGGCGCACGTCTTCTTTCAAGATTCGTGTGCCCGCGCTGATGTTCAAGACGATTTGTTCTCCCAGTTTTTGGCCAGAGAATCTTTTCGTCCAAGAACATCAGCCTAGTTCCGTACAAAAAAAAAAGTTAACAAACCAGTGGGAGTGAGACTTCCCAATATCGGAACCACTGACCAACCCTCCACCTCTTCTTTGGCCACTAACCCAAAAAACTAATTTCCTCACTAACTCTTACCTATCAGAATACTAGGGGGCTACGTAGCAAACTCCCCAAGCTATATTCTGATAGTTCTTTCTTTGCATCCCATATAATAGCATTTACAGAAACTTGGTTAAATCCGGAGATCTTTAGCTCCGAAGTTTTTCCAAGTAAGTACACCACTTTTAGACGGGATCGATCTCAGCAAGAGGAGGTGGAGTCCTCATTACGGTAGACTCTACTTTTGCTTAGAGAGACTCTGGGGCTGCTAATAATACTCCTTTTAACAGAAAAGGGGCGATTTCCAGTGCGATGTCCGTATGGGGGTTAAGGCGATGTAGAGGCAGGTCCCCAATAACTTTGAAGGGGGAGATTGGCGAATCTTTAAGAATTATAATTACAACGTGTTTTCCATAAACTATCCAGAACGTTGGCCGGATTGTTGTTAATATGAGCTCAGTACCCTCGCTAAGGATTTTCACAACACTACGTTCGTAAAATTAAGACTTGGACAGTGCTACCACTTTATATAGATAATAAATACAAATTAAATTACTATTAAAATAAAATTTTTTTTGTAATTTCTTAACAAATTCTGCTGTTTTGAGGCAAAATAAATTTTATTAGGTAAATTAGGTAAAAAAAAAGGTTTGCAAACCTATCATAAGTTATGAACATTTAAGAGTTAAACATAATATTTCCCTTTCAAGCCTCTCACTTTTAATATTAAAAATTTTCATATTTTTACAAAAGGCAATTATATTATATATATTAAAATGCTCTGTTCGTATCTACTTCCTTTATAGACTTGAAAAGTTTGTGAACCGTTTAAGCCCAAATTTTAACACAACATGCGTTGAGGTTCCAGCTCGGTTATTGTTTACTTTTGATGTTGATAGCTTATCTGCGTTTGCGAATATATCAGATTTTTTCGCGTTTCCCCGTGCCCCTACTTTTCTATTTAGGCAGCCAGCTAAGAAGAAAATGTCAAAATGTCAGTTAGAAACGAAGTCATTAGAAACGAAGTCATGCCACCCAAAAAGTCGAATTTGGGTCGTCATACTCGAAACACAGAAGCATAAAAACGTAACATTTCGAATATGACTGACGAAGAGCGGGCCTCCATCCGAGAGAATGAGCGGCTGAGAGCAATGCGGATGCACAACGCGGAATCAGCAGAAACGCGAGCAGCTAGGCTTGAGCGAACGATTAAGAGTTAGGCAGTCGCGTTCTGCAGCAATCGATTTGATTCGGTCTCAAAATAATGAACGCGACAGGGCAAGGGTAGCTGAAGCGCGTTTACAGCTTGCAACAGATCGAAACCTGCAATACAATCGTCTTGCATTCCGATATAATAAAACTGTTGATTATAGCTCGAACCGCAATGTCGTTATTGGCCGGATGAATCAGGTCTGCACACACTGTCAGGCTCTCAAATTCAACAACGAACCAAAGGATTATGTTGCGCTTCCGTGAAAGTGAAATTGCCTCAACTTGAAGCACCACCACAGCCTCAGCACTCTCTATTATCTGGAACTACTGCTGAATCGAAGCATTTCCTGTCGAACATTAGGAAATACAACTCTTGCTTCCAAATGACGTCATTTGGTGCGGAAATTATAAGTGCGCAATTCATGCCAACTTTTAAAATCAAAGGACAAATCTATCACAAAGCCGGTTCCCTGCTTCCGTTCTCTGACAGCGAACACAAATTTCTTCAAATGTACTTCATTGGTGATGATGGAGATGAAGTTGATGCACGTTATGGAATCAATACCTCGGTGAAGAAGCCCATTATTTCGCAGCTACAGAAGCTTTTTCAAGAACGGAACCATTTGGCGCGTTTGTTCAAAACAACAATCGATACGATGCCTTCGGATACCCACAAAATTGTCATTCATGCAGACAAAACGCCTGCTGACGACGAAACGATCGATTGGTGAACGTCGCAGAAACTCACCGTTGTTACGATGCTTTGCAGTATCCACTCATCTTCTGGGATGGTGCCGATGGATATCATTTCAATGTCAGGATGGTGGATCCAGTCAATGGTGTAGAAACGAATAAAAAGTCCAGCGCGATGAACTTTTACTTATACCGATTAATGGTTCGGAGGACCGATGACAATCATATATTGAAATGTCGTCAGTTGTTTCATCAGTACATTGTTGATATGTATGCAAAAATTGAAACAGAACGTTTTCTGTTCCTCCGATTGAATCAGACGAAACTTCGGTCCGAGGAATATAGCCACTTGCGGGATGCTGTGATGAATGACCGTAATACAACCAACGTTGGAAAACTCACGATTTTGCCATCCTCATACATAGGTAGTCCACGAAAATTATTCTTTTTTGTTTGACTTATTTCTTATGCGTGCAACCACAATATGCCACTGCGAAACGTGGCAGGGTACTGCTAGTCCTAAAAATTAATTGCAGGGTTGGAAGGACAGTGCGAAGACAGTTTTTTTTTTTGTAGGACTCTTTTTGTTTGTGGATTTCGTCTTTCACTGCGAGTATGCCCAGATCCCGGTGGATGTTTTCGTTGCGAATGAGTTTGTTTGTTCCTTGGGTTAGTCATCTGGAGCGACTAAGGATAACGGTATCGTCGGCGAACGTTGGCGTTGTTAGTTGTGCGTTATATTTTTCAAAACCGTTAAAATTCAAAACCGAGTGTGCTTCATGTCGGAACTCTAGCTTCGATGATGTAGTCGTCCGAAGTAGCTGCGTTGCATCTCACTGAGAATACTCACTATTGTAGAGGTATGATTCCAGTAGCTTATGGTTGTATGATGGCAAATGAAAACTGAAATATTTTATTTAAGCATTATATTATAAAAAATTGGAAAGTTTTGTTTTGATTCAGGGGGGGGCAAAACGCACACATATTTAAAATTTGAGTGTGTGCGGAGCAGAGAAAAACAATGAGCAGAGCAATGGCTGAGCGAAAAAAACATAGTTTTTTTATCTCATTTTTCTTTAATTAAAAAGTCGGAATGGGCTCTAAAATTGTGTATTTTATTTTAAAGAAAGCTTTGCTAGCTTTTTTTATGCAGTTTATTTGAAATGCAAGTTTAAATTTTTTGGATACGATAAGCAACTTGCCTTAACATTGGTGCAATTTTATTGCGATCCGATATACATCTAATAATAAAAATTGGCACTTTACTTCAAAGGTTTATTAACTGCGGCTTCGCCCAAAGTTTTATTTTCTTACTTGTTTTGTGTCGACTCGACTCATACCTAGATGAAAGGTTTCATTTTGTGCCATCGTTACAATTTTGTGAAATTATTTCGTAGCTGTGCTTTTCGAACTGCGTCCACAA